CAGAGCATTTACATCTTGAAGGGGAAACTTAGAGTGTGGAACTTAGAGCAATTCATCTGGCATGTAGACCTCTTCCTATGCAGTAAGGCTTTTTGGTGACAGCGCTGCTTATCTTGATTTTCAGCAGTAAATCACACCATGAGCCTCTATCTCTGCTCATGCAGAAAGTCCTATCTGACAAGTTGAGCTTTAAATGGGTGGCTAGCCACAAAAAGGTGGTGCAGAGTTCATCACTCCAAACTGAACTCTAAAGGTAGAAAGGTAACTATTCTAGACTGGGCCAAGAAATACCAAATTTTTTCCTCAAGAGTCTGAATCTAGTGTTGCTGTTGGATGCTCTGTTATTTTAATCTGCATTTGTTAATTAGATAGATCTGCCTCATCATCTTCATGCTTAAGTGTTTGAAAGCAATGTACAAGTTTTGATAGCAATAGTAGTGCTGATGTTGAGACTGCTGCATTTTTGTGAACTTGTGCAGTATATCTGATCTATGCACATACATAAAAAAAGATTCTGTATTTGTATAAAACATCTATAATAGCCCTCAGAGTTAGGATCAGAGGCTATTTGAAGTTGTTAATGCTGGAAAGGAACACCTAACAGCAGTATTAGCATAATACTGTCTTCTGAGGTTGCAGCCATGCATCTCAGTAGTTACTGGATACATCAATAAGGCTTTTGAAGAATCATCTTAATCTTTGAGGCCTTTTCTGCTGAATGTTTTGGCCTTACTTGGATTAATAGGCTCAGGAGCAAACTTTCATATTATGGGTGGCAGGTTCGATATGTTAAGCATCAATTTAATGGATGAAAATGATTCAGGCCTTTACAGCTGATCTGCTGTACACACTAGTTTGGAGATACTGATTGATGTTTTCATCTTAATGAGGGATCCACTTATCTGATTTGTGGTTTAGGTTTTGCTTTTTCTGCTAATTTTCACACTCTTTCACCTTCTAGCTGTAAACAGCTTGATTTGTGTTTGATGGGGGAAAAAATCCTTCCATTGCTTTATGGTATTTGCAGAAAGAAGCATTAGCCTACTGAAGGGCATGTAAATTGATGGATTTAGTGTATTAGATTTTACTGTGTAAAATAGAAATACATCTCCAAGTCTATGGTGGCTTATGGAACTTTTCTGAAAAAAAGTTCTATTTTGAGAATGGATGGAACAGCTGCCCTGGAATTAATACACATGTTTACCTAGAACAGTATTTTTGCATCTTCAAAATAAGATGACTTGATAGAGCTGTTATGCGGTCTTTACTTTAAGAAGACTCTGATCAGTTACCTCCACATCTTGAGGCCACTACATGCTGATTTTTTTAATTGAAGCACCTTTGAAAAAAAGATTGAGTTATCCTGCAGGAAAAGCACCTCTTTGAGAGCTGTTGCCTTTGTGATTTCTGTGACTCCCTCTCTGTTATAGGATCTTATACTTTTGAGCTTGTGCTAGCAAAGAAACTCGGGGTGGATAGTCTCTGTGATTTATGCACCAGTTACAAAGGTGCTTTGTTGGTCTACTGCATAGGTAGAAGATCTGGAGAGTGACAAAATACTTTCCACTTGCATGTATGGAATGTGCACAAGCCATTTGATTAATTTGCAATATGGCTGGAAGAGTGGTACGGAAGCTGTTTAGTTCTCAGTTATTCTTCTGTTCCTTGGCAGAGCCAAATCATGTCAGTCTTCGTAGTTGCAGACATTGTACAGGGGTTTCTTAAAAGCTGTACTGGTGACTTCAGCAATCACTGTCATGTTTCATTATTAGTTATGACTAACTTTTTCCTAATAACTAACTTACATTTCCTTGCTCCATTTTGGTATTATTTTGTGTTCTCCATGTCCACGGAAAAAAATAATTTCCTTTCCCATGTGTTAGCCTTTTATGTACTGAAACGTCATTATCTTGTCCTCTCTTGAACATCTTTTCTCTGGACTAAATAACCCCAATTCTTTTTACTGTTTCCTAATGAGCTCTATTTTCAAGGCATCTATTCATTTTTTGTTCTTTTCTGTTCTTGCTTATACATTTCTTGAAATGCATTGTCTGACAACAGGGAACTGCCAAGGCTGAAATAGAATCTATCAGTTCAACCTGTTTTTAAAAAAATATATATACTTACTATATAAGTAAACATGTTGTCTGATGCCAGCACATATTTAAAACCTGGAGCCTGAGGCATTTACTGTTGCTTTTATGGTAAGTCTGAAACTTAGTGAAGAAGTCACTTTAATGAGCTCAGCAGAGAATTCTGGTCACATCTGCAGTCTTCCATAAAAGGCCTCTCATCTACCACTGCTTGCTTT